ATCTGTACACTGAGAGCGCACTTGTTACTTATTCAGAGAGAGCACTACAGATAGGGCCAAGCGGCAATGAAAATAATATAACCCTTTTCTAGTATTAGTTTTTCTATATTTTGTTCAACAAGGGTCGCCCTGTCTGGTGCAATATTCAGAACGTTTATATTTGTTTTAACTGGAGTGCTTAATATGTCGTACACAGATAGTTAAATTCTCCTGCAACCTAAAGTGCAAAAACACAGGCATAAAAGTCAGTCTTCATTCCTTACTTCTATGGCTCATTCGGATACTCTATTCTGTACTTGCTACAACGTATTTTTAGTAGTAAGCAAATCTGGCATGCAAAGCGACAACTGCAAAGGTTGGTTCCATGAAGCATGCACAGATCTCACAGCAGCTGCTTACAAGATACTCAGCAAGCCGGATCAGAAGTGGGTATGTGTTACGTGCAGCACGGATGCTGTAGTTTTGCTGAGTAACATCATTGTCCCATTGACAGGTCTGCGGAACAAGTTGCCAGTAAACTTGGAAAAAGACAGTCATAAAACAGATAGACGAACAAGGGCGCGCAACAAAAATAAGAATAGGGATGTTGATGGAACACACATTAGCACTAATGATGAAATGTTGAAAATCAGCACCATCATTTCGTCGATGGTAATTGACTCCCTCACTAAACTTGGATCTCCTTGTTCAGGGTTCCTAAAAACCCTGCAGGTGACTGTAACCACGCCAACAGAGCTAATAAGGACCAGGTGTCATCGTCTAAGGTTGACATCCCAAGTGTTGTACGGACATCAACTGGTGCTTTGATCGCTCAGTCTACCCCTAAAAACGTCCGCCCGGTTATCAAAAAGGCTACGACTCAAAAACCTGCTTTGACCTCGAAACAACAACGTGCTGAACCTGAACGCACCGGAAAACCTGGAAAAACAATAACGTTTCGTGATGACTCTCTGATAATCATGAACCTCATAGACAATCCTGACCTTCCTCTCAGTTTGCAGGACAAAAAGGACAGGATGCTCTGGGGTGAATTAAACAAGAACCTTGAACTTCCTAGAATAGAGCCTTTGACGGTCACAAGGCACACACGGGGAAAGGAACCTAATAATCAATATCACCCGAGACTACTTCGTGTAACACTCAAGAATGCTACCGAAGTAGAGGATGTCCTGCTAGCTAGTCATCCGATATGAACGTATGAATACTGCACAACATACCGTATTCTGAGCGCAATCTCATCCGGAACACCCTAAAGAAACTAGTGAGGAGATTTTCCTCGAATGAAATATCATTGTGCAAGGTGTGCCGGAAAACACGAACCCTAATTAAGCAAACTCTGACATTCGGGAATGAAACTCATCGAACTGTCCTTGTGGCTCAAAAACATGCTGACTCAGCATGTGATGAGACTAGCTAAGAAGGACGGGGATCCTAGACCCCGACTAATGAGGATAACTTTTCGATCCTTCCATATGGCGGCTGCAGCTCTGGAAGCATTTCGTGTCAAAAGAAGTCGGTTGCAAACTGGGATCCACATGCACCCGGACAGGCCATATGACGCCAGGATCAAGCACAAAGGCAAGCTGGATCTGACCATTCTACTTGTGGACTGTCTTCAAGATAGAAAAAACGTATAAAGAACAGGGCCTACCAATTCGGCAAACCTTGTATAGGTAGGCTACCTGTCCACTCACGTAAGGCTCTCACAGATATACAGGAAGATGCTCACGCGTTTCAAATTGAAAGCATCAAATGCTTATACATGAACGCCGCGAGTCTACCAAATAAAATGGATGAACTAAGTGAACTTAGCAATGCTAATAAGGTTCATCTGATAGGAATATGTGAAACTTGGATATCTCAATTTTCGGACCAGGAGCTAGCAATACCTGGGATGTCTCTGTTTCGCAATGACAGAAAAACAGGAATTGCGGGTGGAGTAGCCGTATACATACGATCTGGCTTGGAAGTACACCAAGTTCACAACCATGAGTTTGACAATCTTGAGGAATCCATATGGTGCTCCATGAGATTGTCCACTACTTCGGGGTGCCTAGTCGGAGTTATATATAGGAAGCCCACTGCCGACATCGAATATGACAGTCGTATGCTGGAAGGACTATCCCGCTCTACGCGTCTCGGCTTCACTCATATCCTGATTCTAGGGGACTTCAATCTCCCTAGAGTCAAATTCGCGGAACACACGTATACTGGAGGTGAAAACTCAGCTGAATCTCGGTTCTTCAACTCCATTGAGAATTTGGGACTACACGAAAATGTGAAGTTGTCTACTCGTTGGAGGAACAGTCAGGCGCCGTCGCGCTTAGACTGTGTTTTTACAAATGAAGAATTTCTAGTCGACAACCTCTCAATTCTGGCTCTCCTGGGTAAAAGCGATCACGCCGTTATAGCCTTCAGTTTTGTCAGCAAAACTGAGCTAAGATATTCCAACAACAACAGGCGCTGGAATTTCAAACGGTTGAATGTGTAGTGACCTACTTTTGTCAACAGAACGCGATTGGTTCAATGAAAACAATTGTTATTATAACCAATTGTATCAGTGACTGTTTTACTGTGCTCCTTTGTTTAACTATGCTAATGACAACCGTTACACTCACTCTCCCGCTGACTTTGAACTTGTACGAATTCGGTTACGCTTAGTAACCACGCTTGTACTCCTTTGGCACGGTCTCGGTATTCTTTCGATACCACGAGATCACCAACAAATACATCTCGACTACAGCCATCATCTGCCTTCTGATATTGGCCTACGGGGATCTTATTGGTTGCTTGGCACGTAGTCTTTTTGTAGTGGTGTTCATAGTCAATAGCGACTGGACTCCACGCTACAAATGTGTCAGCTCTACAGGATTATCTACAACAGGTGGGTAGGGATGTTCAGCCTCAACTTGATGTGGATGCTCATTGGAACTTCCTATTACACACGCTCTTATGTGCTACAAAGTAGTCAATCCCCACAATCATCAAAAACCACACTCTTCGTTTGCTAAGCCGTAAAAGGCACTGTTGGGCAGAATACAAACGAACCAACAACAACGGCGAGTATAAGCAATACAAACATATAAGGAACATATGTACGAAGGCTATAAGAGAAGACAGGCTTCAGTACCAGTTAGAGCTTATGGATAAATTTATTTTCAATCCGAAAAGCTTATTCCGTTACGCAGCCTCTCTTCGTCAAGCCAAAACTGAAGTTTCTCAACTGCCAGGTCCTAACGGCCCGAACGACAACGAATGTGACGCCGCTAACCTTCTGGCTGAGCAATACTCCTAGACATTTCAACCGACCCACATCAACCATACTGATGACGGCTCTATCTGCAACTGCATAGGACTTTCCGTAGTGAAACTGAGTGCTGACTTGGTGTTTCGTAAACTACAACACCTAAGAACAGACACTTCTCCTGGTCCAGACATGGTCCACTCTGCTATACTGAGGGAAGCAGCTTAAATCCTGGCAACACCGCTTAGCGTGATGTTCTCACACTCGCTAAGTCGAGGCAAACTACCGGATATTTGGAAGCTGCCTCATATCACACCAATCTTCAAAGGAGGTCGACGCAGCGAACCTTCAAGTTAACGACTGGTGGTTCTCCCCTCTATACCTTCAAAAATCATGGAGTCCCTGATAAACGATGGTATACACGACTATCTGCTGCCCTTAAGTTTCCTCTCACCACAACAGCACGGTTTCAGGGAGGGTTACTCCTGTATGACGAACCTGCTGACCGCGGTGGACAGATGGACAAGCATCGTTGATCGCAAGGGGAAGGTGAACATCATTTACTTTGATAGGGTTGACCACATATGTCTTATTAACAAGCTCAAACAATTGAGTATCAAACCACCTTTAATTGACTGGCTCAGTTCATATATGAAAAATTGACATTTTAAGGTCAGCGTAAACTTTAATTTCTCAAAGGCTATGGAATGTCCTAGTGGGTTCCCCCAGGGCTCAGTACTAGGACCTCTCCTCTTCCTGATTTATATAAATGATCTTCCTCAACAGGTAACGTCAGACATATTGCTCTTTGCCGATGACGTGAAACTTTGGAGAGAGATACGCAACCAAGAGGACATACAGGCACTTCAGGAGGATCTGACTCGATTTCAAAGTTGGGCAGACGATAACGGACTTGCCTTTAACACTTCAAAGTGTAAAGTAGTCCACCTGCGACACGTCGCAGATTACAGTTACAACTTAGGAAACTCCTCTCTAGTAGTATCCCGAGTCGAAAAAAGATTTAGGAGTTCTGGTGCCCTACGACTTAAAGTCTTACGCCAACTGTGACAGAAATGCCTTTCGAGCAAACCTTGCACTGGTAACATTGAAGCGCATTTTTCGTCAGTTTGACGGGAGAAATTTTCACATAATCTTCAATAGTTTCATCCGTCTCCATTTAGAGTGCGGAAACACAGTATTTCCTCCTACACCCCAAAGGGATAAGGACCCTCTGGAGGCGTATCCAACGGCGAGCCACGAAATCAGTTCGCGGACATAAATTTAAACCTTGTGATGAGCGCCTCCAATCACTTGACCTTTACCCATTAGAGTATAGGCGTCTTAAAGGTGACCTTCTAACGGCTTACAGTATCCTTAACACACCTGGACATCCTCTTAAACACCTACTTAAGCCTAGTCCCAACACTAACCTAAGGGGTAACACCCAGAAATTAGAGATACAACGTAGTAGAACGGATTGCAGACACAACTTCTACTCCTTCAGAGTTGTCAAATGCTGGAATTCGCTGCCGGCCGAGCTAGTCCAAGCACTTTCCAAGGAGTCCTTTAAGAGGCAATTTGATCTATTCTTGATGACTAAGGATAGTATCTTACTATGATTTACCAATTCATATTTTTTCTCTCTTATCGTTAATATAACTAGGTTCTTGCCTGGAGGTGTTGGTGATCTCCTGCTTCTAGACACGGAAGCCTGTTAAGCGAAAGCTTCTTCTATTACGTCCACAACCATTTGACCATTTGAACCATTTAGTGGGAATTTTAAACAGACAAGGACATAGTTATGTTTCTGCCCACCGTATATTTTTGAAATTGTTCATCATTCATGTAAGCGTATACAGATGATGGGTTTATAATAATGTCAAACGCATTTCTAATACTGGCAACTAAGTATTTAATAGACATTTTAATGGTCGGTGCAGCTACCATAACGCGTACCCATGTGTACGCAATCTCCCTATTTTGGAGAAACTTCAGTCCGTTTTTGGATAAATTTTGGGGAAACCGCAATAAAAATCTCTGGGGAAATGCTTCAAAAACTTCGAAACTTTCCCAGGTCTGGGTAGAATCTCCAAAGTTTTGGGGAAATATCAGGTTTTCATTACTTCCTCAGAATCTTACAACAAGGGGGTTTTCTCCCAAATTTCCCTAAACTTTAAGAAGAACTACCATTTTCATTACGACTATGTGAAAAACTCCAAAATTTTCGTAAAGTAGGGAGGTTGGGTTAGACTCGAATTAACATGTTAACTACTGTCCATTTTGTAAATCAACGATGTCCTTAAACTCTTGTATTGATCCATCAGATAAGGACATCGGGTCGACGACGGTGTGATATTTTTGTTGGAATTGTGCATCAGATGTTGGACATATATCCAGGATATATGGAGGGGAGACATGTTCTATCGGTCTATCGACTTTTAGCATTGTGGTCAGTTTCTCGACCACTCATACAGATTTTCACTCATTTGGCTAAACAAGCATATCGAAGTCTAAATTTATATGGTCTGTGGATTTGGATAAATTGGATTCAATTGTAGTTTCAATTAGCTATTTAGTTAACCGCCCTCATTCCGAAATTCAATATCAGAAAATTCTGCTTCAAGCTCGTTTCGAAGAAATCTTTTTAGGCTGTCACACTCAGTCAGTATATTAGTGTGAGACAAAACGAGTTTTCACTCTTGATACCATAGTATACATATCATAAGTGATGGTCTCAACCTTTAGTGGAGTGGGTTTAACATTGAAAACTTACTGAGTAACCTAGGGACTGCACATATTCTATTATCACATAACCGTTTGGACAGTGTTATCACTTGTTACAGTTACTTAGCTGTCAGTCATCCTGGCTACTAGCAGGTCGTAGAAATAACCGCTATCGATTGGTAAACATGAGACTAAATGACTGACAAAACCGCTTTAATTATTCAACAGCTCAGGGTATGTGTAGGAATTCGAAAACGAACCTCTACACTAAGTAGAACACAGAATGTGTTGTGATGCATTACACGTATTTAGAGGTTGAAATGATATAATCGACCACCGACTTTTTTAAAAGGATATTAAAGATTTCTCAGTTTAGCTTGTTTTTACCAGTATTTTTATTAATAATTGTGTCAGTATCTCGGGGACTAAGCTGTCTATATTCGACGACTGAATGGAAATGCCTACCTGTGTAGGAGGATGGTATTCATCCTGTTGCACTATCTGACCAGGCTGGTTAAATATGGTCGAGTTAACTTTCGGATGCTAAAAGATTTATTGATTATTAAGGGTGCTAGGTTCTGGACTTGGACAAACTACCTGTTTGTCTGATTTAAAACAGACCAGTGGTGTTTCCTTAAGAAATGTTTTTCTTAATATCTTTTGTTTAAAATATCCAGTCACCCTTCCAGTCAATGTAGCTTTAAGTGTTGTTAAAGACGAGGGCGATTAGCACTGTCTGGTTTCCTACACCGTGAAAGGATACTTCTTAAGGTACCTAATAAGGAAACTGAGTTAATGGTGATCTTAGTGACCCAAGGGAGAAACTACGACCCTGAGGAACAGTTGCTTGGGGCCGGTCATACAGTTATTTTATACGCAGCTTTATATGCGTTAGCTTCGTACTTTTAGAACCTAAAGGCTAGCGGAAGTCTATGAAGTAAATTGAGGTGCAGTATTCTAATGACTACCTTATCTAACTTTCTGTTGTGCAAAAGTGGTATCGCTACAGATAGTGTTCTTCTGTAAAAAAACACCACTATTGTCATGCTCCAGTGCAATCAGCAGTACAATTTCGTCTTAAGTTGCTTCTTTTATTCTAGCCACTTACCAACCTAGCTTCGTTACTATTCCCCTTTATTTATTCATTTATTTATTTAGTTGAACACAAATATTGCTACAAGGTGGCACCAAATATATATGCGCCACACATTCCCCTTATAAATAATCAAAGACAGCTTGATAGAATTCCTACTTTTCTCCTGAGTTTTGCATATTTCCTATTTCATCTTCTGAAATTTTCTATTTTGCAGAATTGTGTAAGTGATGCAGAACCAGTCAGTAAATCAATCAAATAATCACCAAACAAAACGTAGCTCATATACAAATTACGGTAAACAGCTTCAGAATTCAGTGTCTGGCCAACAACCGCACCACCACCACCAACAACAACAGATTTGGCCGTCGTCTTTGCCAACAGGTTGGAGACGTGAAGAATGTATGCGACCTAATGGATTAGGTACTGGGAAGTCAGATGTTTATTATATTAGGTAGTCTATGTATTACTAGCTAATGTCATTGATTTCTCTTTCTCTCCCTCCCTCCTATATTATTTGGCAGTCCTCAAAATCAAGTTGTACGAAATAAACAAGAAATGCAATTAATTTTAGGTGATAAATATGATATTGGTCTGTTTGATTGGAGAATGGGTAAATTTGTGATGAGCAACAACAACAGTAATAATAATGCTAATAAGTCGAAAAGACTGGAAGAGCCAACTGCAGACACATCATCAGCATCGTCACCAACAGCTAAAGGTATAAATATTTTGTTAAACTTTATGTATAATCTTAAGTTCCACGTTTAGATAATCAGTGTAGTTTACCAATGAGAAGGTGTCCATTCCCGATAACAAATGACGTTAAACCGGTTATTGTACGTTCTCATCCTGAGTGTAAACGAACTGATGTAAAGAATACCAGTCAAGAAACTCCTCATCAGGTAAGCATCTAAAAAATGATTGACTTTACTACAAAATAAACTTCAGTTATTTTGGGAAAAACGATTATCTGATCATGTGGCTATTGATCCGGATACTGGTGAATCTTTCAAACCCTTTTTTTTGCCTAAAGGAATACAGAGTAAGTATCACATATGATCCAGTTGTGTATGTATTGTTATTTAATATTTGTGGTGCATTTTGATGATGTAACTGTGATGTATAATCCTATGAGTTTCTTAGTCATGAGGATAATAAGGGTTATATCATAATAAAACGTGATTCTGGTCGTTATCTTCGCCTCCTAATTGGCCACTTGAAGTAGAAGGAGCTCGTTTACCGATAAGTATAAGTATTTCGATCACTGCTCAGGGTCATTCGCGTTAGTGGTCAAGAGAATGTGATTATTTTGATCAGTGGGGGCTTACTAGTTATAAGCGCGCTTTATATTCAAATGATCTGTTCAAGCGAGCAATATACAAAAGTTTGAATATATAACAGTAAATGTTTACTTTGGAATACATTTATATAAACCACTCTTTTTTCCTCTTATGCTAGGTGCTGGAGTACCAGGTTATCAACCTGCTCAGTTAGTTCATAGTTTAATTCATGCGTTGTCATCATCATCCTCTAAGATTTCTCCAATTATTGGTCAAGAGCAACAACCTTCAGCTATTGAGAAAAATCCCTGTGTTGTTATTAATCATTTACAACCAATGATTAAAGTATGTTTACCTATTTTATAATAACTATGCACTCTTGTTGTTATCTATTTCGACCAATTTATTTCATAAACTACAATGTCTTGAACTGACTAAAGTTCAAAACGTGAACTAGTAAATTCTAACTCGGTAGTTTAAAATTTAAGCACTCACCACGACACTTAAACGTCCTGGGTTGCACTCTCGACAGGGTCGTGGATACGCACTGCTGAGGAGTCCCATACCAGGACAAAATAAATGCCCCGTGCCTCATTGTTTTCACTAGTTATCCAGGTTCAGTTCGTGATGTAAACCTTAAAATCGAAAACGAGTGTTATATCCGAGCGAAGATTAAATCACGAGTAACTTCTGAGACATTAATTGACTAATATTATCTATATATTCTTACGGTGTAATTATTTAATAGTTAGATTATGTATATTTATATTCCCCTTATCATAAGCTTCACTTTGACCTATAATTTATCATTGTACGATTTACTGTCCCTAAATTATACTCAGTTTATTAATTACTGTCTCCCACATTCACAGCCACTTTTTGGCCTATTTGTGTACATATGTTATTTTCTATTTTATGGTACGTTGTGGTCTGCCTGATTAATATATAAACCGAGTATGTCTGAAATAAATGATTTGGTTGATTCGGAAGCTGCTTTTGTGTTCTGGACTCAAGAGGACGGGTTAGAAGGACGTAGGACCCAATAGGACGTTAGACTGCTCAGACCGGTTGAACGTTATTGGCCTTGTCATAGTGCGAATATTCGTATAAGCCGTATTCTGATTGGTGTATAAGTCACGTGATCGTAAGCCGGACATCAAATCATAACAACGAGCTGATAAACATTCTTGTCAGGTGTCATTACATTGACTATAACTGACCGGCGAAGCTGTGTAATTCACCAGTCTAATCACACATACTGGTCAAGCCAAGATTTATGGGTTTGAATATTTTTCTTTTTATCTGGACTTACTTACTTACGCCTGTTATTCTCAATGGAGCATAGGCCGCCGACCAGCATTCCCCAACCCACTCTGTCCTGGGCCTTCTTTTCTATTTCCATCCAATTCTTGTCCATTTTTCTCATATCTATCTGGAGCATGGAGATAAATAATCTTCGCCATATCCAACTGGCCAGTTGTCATGTGGCATGAGATTACTGTTGCTTTCCTTCTATGTTTTACTTAGCAGTTATAAAATATGACAACCAGAGCTCCTCGTTACGTATGGAGAGGTGGCTTTGTAGTTGTGATGTGTGTTCAACTTTCAACCACCGTTTAAGTTGCGAGTTCAAGTCCCACTCCACTTTCTTTGGTTTGAACATCTAGGTAGTTCTGCTAGCCCTCACAGTGTTGTTCAAAGCTTTAAGCACACGAATATGTGTTTGGTAAATGAATTACTTCATGTTACATGCTCCTCACATTCCTTGTAAACATTAAATACTTATTTAACCTATAGTTAATCCAATATTGATGCTTAATTGATCACAAGAGTCGCTTTATAAGAACTACTAGCTAGTATCAGTTATCATCATTTTACATGTGTGCCTGTATATACCGTTTCTGACGTAACAATGATTTTTTCCAAATATTCACCTTTCACCTAAAACATTTACATTCCTGGCTATCAAATAGTCTGTTTTTCTCCATTAAATGCTAATTATTTCCTCCAAACAACAAATATCCAAATACGATAGAAACTAGCTAAAAAAATAACTCCAATTTTTTTAACTTGCTTGTCTTTATATTATATTTCGCTAATGGCAGCATGTTTGGGATACATTTATCACCTAAATGCACAAATGTTGTTTCAGAACTAGTCTTTATCATCACAAGGTTACACACTATTTATAAGCAACCTTGTCAGTCTGATCTTCCGAATAATCTGGTTTCCTTCTTTTCTAAAAAATCCATTGACTAGACATTTATTGTAACCGATGACGATATACGTCGACAAGAAGCTCGTGTCAAAGAACTACGGAAAAAACTGGAAATTGCAAGAAAAAAATTACATCCGGTAAGTGGGCTTTTTCTTTGTTCAATGAAAAAAACCTGTAAAAGTATAGGAATAAAGCAGTCAGAACTGAGAAAATTACTTTCTATGAAAGAATGACTCATCTATCACATCAAATAAATAACAAAAATACTTTTGTATGATGCTCAGATCATTTAAAATTCTTAAGAATTGTTCTTTTTGTGGTGAAACTGTACCATACCGACGACTTGAAGTTATTTTAAGAGCGACTTTAAGATCAGTCAATCAGTGAATAGCCGATCAGGGTGCGTCTATTGTGCGTTTATTCATTTATTTATTTAAACACATAAACACTGTTACAAGCGGGCTCCAAATATATATGCCGCCACACAATAATAATGTTGTGAAGAGATAATGTAAATTGGGTATAATAAAAATTAAGAATAAAAATGAACAGAAATTAGTGTATAATAATGTGGTACCATAATAATTGGGAAACGGTTGAGTTAGGAAAAATACAACCAGGAAGAATTCCTTTAAATAAACAAGTTACGTTCATTCTTATGAATAAGGTTACAACAGGATCGCCACTGGCTTATATTCTGAGTCGTCTCATCATGTCTCTGACCATGGTGTTAAACGATCTCTGGATGCAGTTCTTCGGAGACAACGATGATCAAACACAATGAGTCGTCTAACATCCAAAACTCGGAGAGGCCAGGTTTCACAAGCATAGAGTAAAACTGCTCTCACCGACGCGTTGTAGATCCGACGTTTTACAGCCAGACTGACATCACGAAGGCGCCAAAGATGGCTCAGATTGGCATAAGCCGCTCTGGTTTTCACTATACGTGAATTGATCTCATCACCAACACTTATGCAGCTACCCAGATACACGAACTTCCCGACTACCTCTATCCGTTCACTACCCAGTTTGAGTGCAAGATCAGGGTCCTGCTAGTCTTGTAAAAGTACTTTGAACTTGAAATCGCAAAGCACATACCATACCTACGAACACTGAATGCCAACTGATTAAGTGCGGATTTTGTCTTGGATATCATTGCACATGAAGACAATATCATCCGCATACTGAAGGTCGAAAAGGCCTTCTCCAGGCAACAAATCCACACCACCATTACTTACATCTGTCAGAGCTGTTTCCAGAACGTCATCAATAGCACAGTTGAAGAAAGGTGAGATTGAGAAACCCTACCCAATACCACTGCTTGAATGGGACAGTGGAGAGAGTTAGTTATATGGCCTCACTCTGCCTAAGGTGTTAGTATATAAGGAGTTCAGAATGTTAATAAACTTCTCAGATACACCCTTCTTCGGTAAACAATCCCAGGGAACAGCCCTGTCCAGTGAATTGAAGGTGGCCATGATGTCAAGTAACAAAACGATTGTTGGCCTGAAATAAGTATGATGGTGAGGCCGCATTCAATTTTACTTACCATTTTCATGGCGTCATGCAATTGCAGTCAATGCCTATCTGTTCTTTTCGGTGGCCTGGTAACTAGTCTTGAACCTAGCTTGGTTTGATATCTAGTAGCAATAAGAGCTAAAACCAATTTGCTAACATCGATCAGTTTAGAACGATGAATTTGTTGACCCTTGGGACGTAAGATGAGGTCGGCGTAAACAAGGGGATGTATAAAAGTTCAGATAGATTGTTCATGGCTATCGGTGTAGTATTATAATTTTACCTTCTTCTTCTTCTTCTTCTTCTTCTTATTATTATTATTATTATTATTATTGTTATTATTATTATTATTACTATTATTATTTACTCACCAATAACTAGTTTCTAGAGGTAGTTTCACGGATTTCTAGTGAGAGCCTGTGACCAATAGGGTCCAGTCATGTTGGGTGTGAGTCTGATATGCCCCAATAATAATGGCACTGGAAGGTGGTCATAATAAATCACTAATTGATAAGAGTTGGGAATGTAAACGCCAACTCTGTAGTCTAGATGTTAAGTGCTCTTTGTGATACCTGAAGTCCCTGGGTTCAGTCGCTAATAAGCTTGCTGATTCTCGCCTTTGAGGTTTCGCATGCTTGGACGAAACAGTCGTATAGTGGTTCATGGCTTTCAGTGATTGTCAAAGTAGTGTCAATGTGAATAACAAAACTGGAAAACTGGTTTTCTGATTTTAATGAAACGTTTAACATATATTATGTAACTAAGATGTCAAGGTTTTATGATTTTTTTTTGGCCGGTCTATTTCAAATTCCCGAAGTTTGTTTTGCTGTTATACCTTTTTTCTTCATTATTTTAGCGATATGAAACTGAACGAGAAGGATGAACATGCTTGTGTCTGTATATCAATCGGCAAACAGTTGTTTCTTTTTTGTTATTATTAATACCTCTCTTTATTGCTACCCGATTGTATAAACGGTCATAGTACTCTTAATTTCAGTATTGTTGCGTTTTTCTTGTCAGGGTTCAGTTTTCACTTTGAGCCTTTTGTACAAAAAAAAATAAATGTATGTTCTGTGTGCATATGCATAAAGAAAATTCTCTAATGCAACATAGTTTTCCCAATTGCTATTCTTATATTATCACTACTTCGGTCAACAGTATGGTAGTTAATTTATATTTTTCCGGTTATAAATTCGTCGTACCTAACTTCGAATCACACTAGTGATACCACCGATTGTTTGCCTAAACTAAAATAGCTAGAATGTGATTTAAACTAACAACTTGATGGCTGAAAGTTGAACACCTTGACTATTAAACCGCCCCTCCCTTTGCCGTGATCATAGTATACATATATAAACAATGTGACAACCGTACATTATCAAGATTGAGCTTTTCAATAAAGCTTTTATTCTCCTAAAAGTATTTTACGTGATTCCAGAAACAATAGTAACCAATACAAGGACACATCAATATTATACGTAATTTTTAAAATAATGATGCTATGAACTGCTTGCTGCTCAATAATTAACCTGAGATCATTGGTCCCATGTCATCGAACTTCGCAGCTTAAGACGTTACCAATAAGCTATTTAGGCTGCGATTGACCTGTTAGACGGATATATCTAATGATTGGTCCCTGAGCAGTGTATGTATAGTCTTTTAATAACGATGGAAGCTGTGACGTGGGATCTAAACTGTCACAGAAAACCGATTCCCTGCAGACTACACATACACGTTTCTGATGTATCGCGAATAGTACGAAACATGCCCACGATTTCTTGTTCACTGTCTCCAACATCAACATAGTTCACGCTATACCACCCACATTGTAACGTAATCGGTAGGATCCAATTGACACTAAAAAGGATACAATATTAGTTACAATTCGACGATCAATCAGTTGTATGCTGTCATATTCTTTACGTTAGCACGATGGAATTAAGAACGATTCACTGAACTGGTTATGGTTCCAAAGATCATAGTCGGTTAATAGAAATAACTCTAGAGCTGGTATACACCATTTTACTTTGATTTGCAAGATAGCAGGTAAATTTTCCATAACATAACATGAGATTAATATTTCAGTTATCTTTTTATAACAAAAACATTAATACACACTCCTGAAAGAAATAAGACAATTCGATGTTTTGAGAGGCGAAGAACAGTAATAACATTTTGGTAAATACACAATAAAAAATAAACAGAAGTCAATCAGATTAGAATAGAGAATATTAACAACCCTTCAAAAAGCTACTCAATTTCTTTTTGGAAATTCAACCGAACATGTGAGTTTAACTTAACTGATAAAAATGACGATAGAAATGCACCAGTCAGGCTTAATCGAAATTACCACATACAATTTCATTTATAAATTTTAACATTAAACATCTGTAATGTATCGATTGTAATCATAATTATTATTGTTACGTATATCTGTAATCGGAAGGGCAATACTATTATTTTTCACCGGGTGTACTGTGTACAATAATCGATCAGATGATTTCAATTCTTTTCGATTCAATGTATTCATTACGACATCATGATCATCTCCATGTGTTAATCTGTTTTTACCATGCTTGTGTTTTATTTGTCTTTGATTGTGTAATTTTGACGTTTCCATTGATGATCCCAACGTCGATGAGGATGATATCAATGATAATGATGCATTCGAAGAACCAGATGCGGATTTTCCACGGTTTGGTGGTGCTGGGGGAGGGGGTGGATGTTTATTAGTATTATTCTGTTTAGTTGATAATCTGTTAAGAAATTTCTCTTCAGGATATAATGATATGTGGTAACTTGTACATGATGTTGTTGAATTAGACAAACTCAATGGTTTTTGTCTAATCTGATCATTAGATTTAAGACAAGCGAAAGAACTTATTCTCGGTAGTTTTGGTGGTGGTTGTAATGTTGATCTTATTGTTAGCGGTTGTAAGATTGGTGTTGTTGTTTGCGGTTGAGGCCAAGGAATAGTTGACATTTCCGTTGAATAAACATTACAATTAGAAAATGAATCTTTCAGTGATGCATGAAATTCACTACCCGGTGTACTATGACGTATACTTGATTTAAATTGTTTTGGTTGTGGACGTTTCATCAGTAAAACAATAATTATAATTAAACTTATCAACGCAACACTGAGAAGACAAACTAATACCAATGTAGTCAATCGTACATTAATTAAAGGATAGTAATAAATTGGTGGAGATGCTAATATTGCCAGGTTGGGGGGGGCGATGTAGAGAAATGGTTAGAAAATTGACAGAAAAAAGAATTATATCAATATATATATATATATATATATATATATATATATATATATATATATATATATATATATATATATATAACGCTAGAAACCGAACTATGGTCAAGTTGCGACGGATATAATCTACAAATTAAACTAATCTCTACAAACCCCTTCGACTAATATCGTAATTTCAAAGTTTAAATCACAAACTGATATTGGACCGCCATTGAAAACCTGGAAGCACTGGATGGCCATCCGATCCTAGAATGAGACTCATCAGTGGTGCACATCCACAAACCTATATGCGGGAATTGGAACCAAGACCTCCGGCCACGCGTCAGAACGCTTACTCTCCAGACCTCAGAACCATGATTTAACGGTGTTAATATCTAACCTCAGCAAATTCACGATCGTAATTGTTACTTATTGATAATTACTCATATGATCATATATGTGTAATCACTTGTGATATTGATAACTGTCCTAAGAAGGAGGGGCGATATATTTGTTAAATCAGTCAATGAGGTAGTGAATCTCTACCAACTCAGATGTTTAGGATATATATTGCATATGATCAACAGTTTTTACATTTACACTCCTACCTATTCGCTTTTGCATTAAAAGATGATTTTAAATGTGTAGGATTATTCTGAAAATGAGCTGTGCAAATCTATCATAAGCGCCTCTTTATTTATATCAGTTGTAATCTACTATTCAATTTATTCTAACGGCTTTGCATGAGTGTTAAATTTATGGGATGTGGCTAACAGTGGTATCCATTGTACCTGTTTCGTCCGATTCGGGATTCGTCAGTTGGACGTATCTGAATCTCAGAGTGAATTTCATCTCTGAGATATACATACACCCGGCTGATGAGTCTTAAATGAAACGAAATATGCATCATGAATTCCACTACTACCACATTACATTCATTCTAATATTAATTTATGTCATAATGATTGTATCAAGGCAATCCGCTTAGGATGCCCATATACCAGTTAACTTACTTACGCTTGTTACTCCTCGTGAAGCATCATAAGCCGCTCATCAGCATTCTCCATCCAACCTTGTCCCAAGCAATCCTTTTCATATCTGCTTCTATTTCCCGACGTAATGTGTTCTTTGGCCTTCCACTTTTTCGCTTCCATTCAGGATTCCAAGTTCAGGCTTGCCTTGTGATGCAGTTTGGTGATTTGCGTAATGTATGTCCTATCCATTTCCATCGCCTTTTCCTAATTTCCTCTTCAGCTGGAAGCTGGTTTGTTCTCTGCCACAAAATGCTGTTGCTGATGATATCCGGCCAATGGATGTTGAGTATCTTGCGTAGACAACTATTTATAAATAATTGTACCTTCTTGATGATAGTTGTAGTAGTTCTCGAAGTTTCAGCTGCGTAAAGAAGAACTGCCTTGATGTTCGTATTGAAGATTCTGACTTTGACATTGGCTGAAAGTTGTTTTGAGTTCCATATGTTCTTCAATTGTAGGAATGCGGCCCTTGCTTTGCCAATCCTTGCCTTTACGTCTTCATCTAATCCTCCTTGTTCATCGATTATGCTTCCCAGGTATGTAAAGGATTCTACATCTTCCAGAGTTTCGCCATTAAGTGTGATTGGATTGCTGTTCTCTGTGTTGTATTTGAGGATCTTGGTTTTCCCCTTGTGTATGTTGAGGCCTACTGATGCAGAGACTGTTGCTACACTGGCTGTTTTTATCTGCATTTATTCATGTGTATGCGATAGGAGGACTAGGCCATCTGTGAAGTCCAAATCGTTTAATTGGTTCTGAGCTGGCCATTGTATACCGTGTTTTCCCTCAGATGTCGAGGTCTTCATAATCCAGTGGACCACCAGAAGAAAGAGGAAGGGAGAGAGTGGACAGCCTTGTCTGACTCCGGTCCTTACTTGGAATTCATCCGTCAGCTGTCCTCCATGCACGACTTTGCACTGTAGTTCATCATATGAGTTCCACCTATAGCTCATCTAGAGTTACTGCCGGTCCCAAGCCCGGGTAAAGGAGGAGGGTTGGGCATGGGGTTAGCGGCCCTATCCTGTAGAATACTAACTCGTTAAAAAAACGCTAACCAGAAAGATATACCAATTAATACCAACCAAAATTCAATCAAAATATCAACAGCTGGATAATCCAAACCATTACGAATGAAATTAAGCTTCACGCGCAGTTATTCTAATGAGAGTTAATTAACCAACATTTCATAAAAATCACATACTGTTTCAAGCTAACATTAACAATGAATTCCTCTTTCGGTGATTAGATTTCATGTAATTGAGCTTGTTTAGTATGTATTTTCGTCTTTTAGTCAACTTTGTTCTCTGATATTAGCACCTATGTATCCCTTACTAAGTGAAGAAATCATACAAATGAGTCGTTCCAGTTATTTACATTCATTTATGCCAATTGTTTTACACTATCTCAATGTAAAAATTTTTTATCACATATTTGGTTGTAAGCAGCTGACGAGAAACCTCGAAATATTATGAATTCTACTATTCTGCATCAATTTTTGTTCTTGCTTTATTTAAATTCATAAAGGGAACTAACTGTATGAAATGAGTCGTTATTGGAATTGTGATGTAACAATGACGTGCTGATATGTTTAGCGAGCGTAGATATCAAATGCTTGTGAACATATGACATCTAAAGATCAAATGGTGAGAAATTATGAAGGAGATACTCTTTTCAATAAAGCCTACCCAAGGCCTAAGCTTATTTTATCTGGTTCAGATGGACAGTCGTTTGTGCACTTATGATTTGGATACGTTGAAACGTGATTTGGTAATTAAACCTTCCCATTCATATGACGTACATGTATTGGCTAAATCGGACTGTTAACAGCGACATGAGTTAACCTCAGGACTTAAAGGACCTTATTTTCGTCCTTGGTGAATTTGTGAGCTCAGACGTGATGAACTAATGATATATTTTAGTCTGAATACTCGTGAATTGTTTAAACGTGCTCTTCTATTGGTTACTATTGTTTGTCAGAGAAAGTCTATGGCTGGGGACTCCTTTATAATGCGCGCAAAAAAATGTTCACAAACTACCTGGTACAGGTTCAG